AAAAAAAAAAAAAAAAAAAAAAAACTTATTAAATGTCACATTCTTCTCTCTCAGATAGAATCATCTAAAAAACAAGGTTAATGAAATGGAATGGAAAAAGCAACATGTGTGAGTAAACTAAAAGAGCACAGTGTTGCTAAATGATTTTTTCTTGACCCAGAAAAAAATTATATTTTCTATTACTTACAAGTTGCTTATAATAAACTGCTGTTTACTGTACTCTCTGAGGTGTTATAGAGAATCAGGTAATAACAATGGACAGGAAAAGAGATGCTCTGCTTAACATTGACATTGAATAAGGTCTCATAATGGAATTACTTGATGAGGATTTATAAACATTCAGAAGAGGTCATAGAAATCAGCATAGTCTTAGTGAAAACATACAAAGTGATCTAACAGCTAGGAAATATAGAATAAATAGTGTATTTTAAAACCAATATATTTAACAGAAAGTTCTTTGAATATATTTTGGAAGTTGGTGCATATATTAAGAGGCTAAGCAGCCATACCCAAAAATTATTAGTAGATATTACTGAAAAGGACACAACAATTCAAAGCCACTGTCATTCTTTACTTGTCAGCATTCTGGCCAGTGCTTGGTACAGCATTTTTTCTTGCACTTGGGATTTTCCAACTTTTTAGCATTATACATTTTTTGTAAAATTCAAAATGTTTTCAATGGTTATGTTTTCAAGTGTTTCATCTGCCCATCCTCCTTCGGGGATACAATTCCATAAATATGTGATTGCTTAAAGTCATCTAATAGCTCACTGAGGGGATGGATGTCTTCCACCCCCTCAGCCTTTGTTTTATTTTGCAAAGTTTTTACTGCTCTGTGTTTGTTTAGTAATATTTTCTTCTACAGTATCAAACCTGTTAATCCTATCCATTGTAATTTTTACCTCAGACATCCATCGTATTTTATTTTTATTCTGTAGTTTTTATCTTCTATTCCTCTACATAATATGCTTAATTTTTCTAGAACATGTTGAATGTAGTTACAGTAACAATTTTAACATCCTTGTTTATTCTGCCTTAAAATGAATTGTGTTTCATGTCTTTCCCAACCTCTCCCCCAAATCCAGGCTACAGAAGAAGTTTCCAAAAACCTGGTTGCCATGAAAGAAATTCTATATGGCACAAATGAAAAAGAGCCACAGACAGAAGCAGTGGCCCAGCTAGCTCAAGAACTATATAACAGCGGACTCCTTAGTACCCTGGTAGCTGATTTACAGCTCATTGACTTTGAGGTAAGAGATGTTGATTTTCTAAAACACTACCCTATTTGTAGTCCTTTTCTGTATGTTCTCTTTTGAATCTTTGGATTCCTGTTGGGTTTAGCTCAGGGCTTCTTAACCTCTGGGCATGCCAGGACATTTTGCCTCCTTAGCAGAGCCAGGGCAGGAACCCAAGTTGTCTTGCACCTCTGCTTTGCCACAGTGTATGTGCAGTTTCTTAGGTATTCAACATGCCCTTGCATTTAGGTTATAGTGTATAAACAGCTGCTTTTTAGAGCACAGTAGTGGGTTACATAATTCATTAGAGCTTGGCTCTCAGGGAATGAACAATCTTAAAACTATAGCATTTTAAAGGTAGAAAAGATCTTATGCAAAGTTCATTATAGCAGAGATCATTATGTGATTTACTTGGTGCTGCTTTTAAATTTTTTAATTAGTGCAATATTGCAGATTTTATTCACAATTCAAAATTTTTAGCATCGTCTGGAAAATTCAGCTGGCAGCATTGGGCCTGCAGTCCTGCTTGGTCTTTCAGGTAGAGCACAGCAGCTACCCAAGAATACCAGGCTTGACTTTGCTTAGAGAGCTGAGCTTGCTCTACCCATTTGCACCTCTGCCCAGCCCTGGTAGGTATTTGAGATTGTTGCCCAGGCTTGTGTAGCTAGATCATGTCATGTTAAATATTTAGTGAATTTAACAGTGCAAATAATGGGCCTTGACACTAGTCTGAATAAACTAGTTTGAGGTGCACGTAAGGTAACAAAGCACTCTGACATAGTCACAGGCAGTTAACTGGACACTAAATTTAATATTCATTTGGGACTTCAGAGACACTAGTTTTTAAAAAGTGGAGTGGGGGGAGCTGTCTGGGACTGGTTATAAAGGTTGCCATTGCTACACCTGAGCTAGCACAAGCCCCTGGATGGTCTCTGTGTGCAGTGAGGCTGGAAGGCTAGCATTTCACTACTGTCTGTGGGCTTCACACCCATGGTACATGGGCCATTCTGAGACACTCTTGGGTCCGGGTCTCCGTTTATTAATTTCTTGTGCAGCTCTTTGATTATAAGATTCCCAGATGGTAATAATGTCCATACAAAGTTCTGATCTCTGAACTGCCATACCATATACTACTTAGTGCTTCGTTATTAATCTATTTGAGATGTCTACTTGCCACCAAAACTCAGCTTCTTACAGAATTCTTTCATTTCATTATACTGATAGAGTATAATTTCCCCCACTTCCATCACTATAAAAGAAAACTATTGTTCATAGTACAGGCATCTTATCTGAAGCTGCTTTTTCCACTTGGGTGGGATTTAAAGCCCTGTAGATTGTTACCAAATAGCAACATTTTGTTTTCCATTTCTGACTCAGTATGATTCTGAGATAAGAAATGATGGAAATTACATGTGGAACATAATGAGATTTCATTTTGTCTACATTGTTCGTGTTAAAAATTGTATACTATTACAATTTGGAATTATAAAGAAACAAAAACAAAATTAATGTCTATGAGTATTTTAAAGTTAGATATTCAGTCATAATTATAAATGTAAAATGGTTTTCTTCAGATTTATTTGGGAGGGTAGATGGGCATTCTGCTGTTTAGACAGGTAAATATTTAATGATTGTATTCCTAATAGGGCAAAAAAGACGTGGCTCAAATTTTCAACAATATCCTCAGAAGACAAATTGGTACAAGAACTCCTACTGTTGAATACATCTGCACCCAACAGAATATTTTGTTCATGTTATTGAAAGGGTATGTACAATGTAATAAAATTTATATTCTTAGTTAAAAACAAAAAGGAAAGATTGCCTTGTTGAAACAGGAATAATAAGTGTGGGCAGCATTTTAATCAGCTCATTTTTCTATAGATCTTGAACATATTTCACTCCTTAAAAATCGAACCTGTAGCTGGGTGTGGTGGTGCACACCTGTAAACCCAGCACTTTGGGAAGCAGAGGCAGGAGGAACCCTGCAAGTTCAAGACCAGCCTGGGCTACCTGATGAGTTTAAGGGAAGCATGAACTGCATAGTGAGACCTTGTCTCCAAAAGAAAGAAAATCCAACCTATAAACAAAACTGAATGTAAAAAATGTCCTATAGTTGAAAATAGGGTACGGTATGAGCTTTGAGTTCAGAAATCAGCATGACTGAAGCAAAGACGTCCCCATTGGCTTTTTCTGTTCCCTAAGATTTACAAAGTTAAGTTTTGTTGAAATATCAGCTCAGTCACATATTTAAGGATGTCTCCTATGCACCTGACCTGCACCCTGGAAGACAACGGAAGCCGCCTCACACGTGGAGCTTGGGTGCTGCCTGGCTTCACTCGGTTCAGTTGGCAGAGATGTTGCACCATGGTGTCTGTTGAGTTCCACCTCTGTGTGTCACTCGCTAACCCACTTAATGTGACAGTTGATAGTGCATGTGCCTGCATTACCACCAGACTAAGCAGGCATTCATGATTGGGTAGTCTGTCAGTGTGAGAAACAAAACAAAAAACTTAAAACGAAAACCAAATCCTCTTCTCCCTCAGCCCAGAGCCTCCCAGACCAGCAACCTCCTTCTGTTGGACACCAGAGTTGTCTGCCAGCTCTGGGTATGCTGTGCCTCTTTCTGTCCAGCGTTGGCAGTGTTGTTAGGCTGGTGGGCAAGCGTGTTACCAGCGTGACTGGTGGCATGAATCAGATGCCTTCCTACCAACAGCTTTGCAGCTTGCCTCGTCTGATTCATCTCTGTCTGTTTTAACACTTCCCCCAAGTTCCAACTTGTTTAGAGAAAGCATGAGTCAGTGCTGCATATGTTGCATGCCAGCATTCCATTTCCTCCTTTCTATTTCTAATCATCCATGTTGCCTCTTCAGATGTTGCCATACACAACGTTTGGCATCTGACTTTTTGTCATATCGATTCACTGTTGCCATGTAAACATGTAGTGGATAGGTTGGAATTTTGCTGTTCTAAGAGCAGCTTCCATTTGCCCTTGTGTTTTTTTAACATCAGTATTTACGTTTTCATAGAAACCAGTTGGTATGATCCATACATTAGTTAACTGCCCATGATTTCACAGTAGCCAGAAGAATGATACAAACATTGTTTGTCATCATCTAAGATGTTTGAGTTAATTTAAAGTGAAAGCTTTCGGGCCAGGTATTTAGCTCAGTGGTTCCACTGCCTGCCTTGCAAGCACAAGGACCTGAATTCAATCCCCCATACCAAAAAAAAAAAAAAAACTAAACTAAAGTGAAAGCTTTCATCTGAGCTGGCCAAAGGGGAAACCTCAGCCAGGCGGGGAAGGAGAAGCATGGAGGATAAACAGCAGGGGTCGGGGCATCTCTACCTCCATCTGGCCCCTCAGCCTTTGTTGTAAGAACTATGCACACAACTGCAGAGAATAACACAGCACGCACTTTCCTCCCTGTAACTCTGCTTCAGCAGTCACAGACTGCGCTGAGCTACGTTCCCATCGCTGAGATACAATACTGGACACACGGTTGAAATGAGAAGTTAAGATCTGGCTCACGGTTTCCAGTGGGTTCAGTCCAGAGTCATTCAGCTCTACAGGAAATGGCATGGTAGAAGGCCCTGGCAGGGGATAGCCGCTCATGGTCCAGTCACCTTCTGGGAGACATTTAGATCTAAACCGCAACATGATTCCTACTTCCTCTAGTCCTTGCTTCCTCCCTCCTCCCACACCTGATTTCAAGTCTGTGTACATCCCTAGTTCATAATCCATTGTGCAGTGTGACAAGGAGAACAGTGAACCATCATAATACCTTTTACAAGCCTAACTCTATCCAGTGCCTAATATCAGATTTCCTCAATTTTCATAAAAATGATACTTTATGGTTACTTTGTTTTAAATTGGTTTCTAAACAAGGTCCACAAACAATTTGATTGATTAGACTTTTATCATAATGACTCTTTTTCTTTCTTTTTGTTTTTTAATCTATGCCATTTGTTTATTGAAGCAACAGGGTCATTTGTTGTGTAGAAAAGTCACATATTTGCATTCCCATGGTTTGGTTTTTGTTTTGCTCTCCCCTGTTCCTTAAATTGGTGGCTAGATCCTAGGGCTTGGTAGCATTCAGTTTCACCTTGAGGCAAGCATGAGTCTTTCAAGATGATACAGTGTGTTTTCTGTTGGATGACACTGGTTGTCCCACTTGAGTTGATGTTTAGATTAACCGTGAATACAGTGTCATCTGTAATCTGTCCAATATGAAGTTCTCCACCAACTTTTTCACCTAATGTATTAGTATCCATTGAGAATAGTACCTGGATTCAAAATGGATGTTTCCTGATTCTGCTGTTACTTCTCCATATAATGTAATGTGTTTCTTCAATAAAGAGAAATCTGTCTTCATTGATGACTTAGTTATCCCAAAGTACAATCTTTATGAGAAAGATCAATATCATTATTTTAATTAGTTGATGGCCTGGCCATTTCCTTAAATGAATGTTAAGTGTGTTGTTTTTACTTTAAATATACTGGATGTGTTAAAACAATCCATTGCAGAAATTCCGTTTTTAGGTCTTAAGTTGCCCCATGTTAGGCCATTAGGAGCTCCTTCTGGTTGGCTCCTGTGTCCTTTTAGTAAGACCCCATCAGTCCATGATGGCTTCCTTGCTTTTTGGCACAAGGTGACCACCTTGATCATTTCATAGGTTCCTGCCAAAACTGCCCTGTGAACTACCTTTTAAGATTTTTGCATTTTAGTTAATTAGTTTGGACTATAATGTAATTGTCTTCTCAGGCTGTAAGTACTTCTGGTGTTAGATATCTGTGGGGAGTTGTGCTGCTCAGCTCACATCTTCCTGCTAGCATTGGGCTGAGTTTGGAGGCACTGGATTTTTCCTGGCAGTTTAAATGTTAATGTGCTCTCCAGTCCAGTGCTAACAAGTTCTACAGCATAACTGTTTGCCTTATACTACTCTTTGGTTTATGGTTTAGTCATTTAGACAGACTTGACAAACTTCCATGAAAACCTGCCCAACTTGTTGTACCAAACTCTTATCCTTGTCACTCTTGTCACCTGCTTATTAAAGATAAGCAGAAATGAATTATGATCAGCCATTTTGTGGGCAGGCATCTTAATCAAGAACCAGTCAGGATACTTACTGGCTTGTAATGCCTAACTGATGCGAAGGAGGAATGGAGTTCTGATCTTGTTGAGGATCTGTGATGAACATACACATACATCAAAAGGATAATACTGTTGGGCCCCGAATGCTACAGGATTTCAAAGGATAAAGGCAAGTTTGGTTAATAAAGCAAAGGTTGGTAAAAGGCATGGAATTTAGGATTGGAGATCCAGGTGGTTTAGGATTTACATAGTCACAAAAAGAAAGGAAAATCCAAATAGCAAATCACTAGGAACAAAGGTCCAGAGGCAGGAGTGAACGCCATGTGATTGGCAGCAATAAGAAATACAGAATAAGCAGTAAGAGTAACATCTGGAAGTGTTACGGCAGGATTAGGCAATAGCCTCCTGCCAGAGCGATAGATCGATCCATTAAGGAGAAGACCAGACATTAAAAACCCAGAAGTCTGTCTTTTGTTTGGTTGGCAAGAAATAATCTTAAGCGCCTAAACTGGCGTGTTGTTGATAAGCCTGCAGGTGGATGGCTTAAGACAGGTATGAAGAAGGGATGGCTTGCACCTGTACTGCCCAGTATAGTAGCTGCTGATGGAATGTTAATGATTTAATTTTAAGTTAATGTAAATTGCTTAACATTTGAAAGCCAGTCCCTCAGTCATCCCAGGCAGATTCCAAGTGCTCAGCAGGCACGTGTTGCTAGTGACTGCCATAACAGACAGCACAGATAGAGAGCATTTCCTCCATCCTAGGCAGTTCTGTTAGACCTGCTTCAGACCTGGCTACCCTAAACAAAATGATGATGCCACGTTATAGAAATGAGGAAGCAGGAGCACTGCGGGAGAGAGTTACTTTATAGAGGGAAGAGGATGTTGGGTTTTTGTGAATTATGGTAGGGGCCAGGGATTTAGCTCAATGGCATCACACCTGCCTCTCAAGCGCAAGGTCCTGAGTTTGACCCCTGGTACCAGGAAAAAAATAGGTGTGTTTATGGTAGATACTTTACTGAAGTTGTCCAAAGGCAGCAAAAAATGCATAACTGCGGTTTGGGTGTAGGCTTGAGGGGAAAGTATTGTAGTCATGGTGGGAGCCATGAGATTTTACAGCTTTCCTTACAGGTTAGTAGCACAAAGTCAAGAACTCAGGCAGGCAACAGATAGGAACAGTCTGATGAAAAGGAAAAGATCTGGGAGAATTTCTCTTGCCTGTTCTTAAGAGAAATATACAAAGATCAGCACTGTCAGAACACTAAGTAGAAGGACTTTTGTTATCAGAATACATCCCTTGTTTTCATCAAGAGGAAGTCCTTGCTGCCTTTTAGTTATTTCACTAGGATGTTGGGAGGTGGAACTAGACTGCAAGAAACCTAAGGATCATGTAAATGGGAAAAAAAACTCAGCCAACAAGTGCAGCTTGAAAAGGCTGCGCAGCCAAGTAGTCCAGTGAAAGAGAGCTTGGTGCGTGTAGGGACCAAAAGGCTCCCTGCTCAGCCGAAGGGTTTCTTTACGATTGCAGGGAAGGGAGAGAGGAGAGGAGTCAGCGGAGGTAAGAGGAGCCGTGTGCTGAAGCTGCTGCCGGGCCCCTCCCCACGTGCCTGATGGCTTTCTGTGATGGAGGGAGGCACTTTGTGCGGTCTGCAGGGCTGGGCTCTCCACTTCGCAGTGCTGTGTGTTACTGAGTCTTAAAGCTCTGCTTTGAGTGTTGAGTTGAAAAAAGTATAAATACTATATATTTGAGAGACCTATTTCAAGACTGAATTTCTGAATTTGAAGAAGTATTTTGTTTTCTGCTGTTTTCTGATTCAGCTTTTGGTTCCCTGGGTATTGAGAGCATCATAGGTAGATGCTAAGCCCAAATGGAACACTGTGACCCTAAATAAAACCTTCTAGATCTTGTTAAAGCTTAAACACTGAACTTCTTTTTCACACGGTCACTCTTGGGACTCTCTCCTTCATTGAAAGCAGCATCACCAGCCAGTGTGTATGAGCCTTGCGCAAGCTCCCCGGACCCAGCCTGTATGTACTCTGAGAGAAACTCCTTTTGTAATCTGCTGTCGTCACTTAGGTTAGGACCCATGTCTGAAACTTTCTGTTCTCGGAATTTGAAATGTTCACTGTTGCATTTCTCAGAGAGCAATCAAGTCTGGCTTTTTGGTTGTGTTTTGTATTTACAGGTATGAATCTCCAGAAATAGCTCTAAATTGTGGAATAATGTTAAGAGAATGCATCAGACACGAACCTCTGGCAAAAATCATTTTGTGTTCGGAACAGTTCTATGATTTCTTCAGATATGTGGAGATGTCAACATTTGACATAGCTTCAGATGCATTTGCCACATTCAAGGTAACAAAAACTAAGGACACTTTCAGACCCACAGGTGTGCCATTTTCCCAAATCATCTTTGCCCCCTTGGTCTGCACACAGCTTCCCTCTAGTGGAAAGTGAGAAGATACTCTTTGTGTGTGTTGATGTGATTTAGATATTTGCAGTAAAGTTAGTTTTACAACAGTGGGAAAGTTAGATTCTAGTCTATCAGAAAGCAGAAGTTGGGGCCAGGGATTTAACTCAGTGGCAGCTCACCTGCCTTGCAAGTACAAGATCCTGAGTTTGAGCCCTAGTACTGCCAGAGTCAAAGTTGAAGTGTGGTTAAAATTATTTCAGTTAAATTACTTACTAAGCGCAGTACACAGATACACAGTATGTCTCACAACCAGGTTTTCTCCTATGCTGGCTACTCTGGAACAGTTGTTTGGTTAGCACCAGAGGAAGCAGCTCCTGTTCAGGGCCATGTTCCTGTGTGTGTCACTGTAGATCAGAAACACATTCAGGCAGTCAGTCGTGCTGTTGATAGGCCCAAGGGAACCATGGATTCACCTCTCTGGTGCTCTTTCACACCAGAGCACAGTAAATTCAGGGAGGGGACTGAACCACCTGCACTATTCCAATTATTATTTCTCTCTCCTCTCCTCTGTCTTACTTCCCTCGTGGCTATCTGTGAATTAAATACACATAGGGTATGGTAACACTGTGTAACCTGCAGATTTTACTGTGAGCTCCGGGGTTCTATGCTGTTTAAATAAAGCAATAATTTTGTATTTGTTTTTCCACCAATAAAAGTCTTAGAAGTATTTTAGTGTAACCAGTATTCAGTACACTTAATGTAAAATGCCTTGACCAGATCTTGAACACTGTTATGATAAGAAACGATCTTTCCTTATGAGGGCTCAGCTCCAATTATAAAGAGCCCGTGAGATAATAGGCACACACCTTGGGCTCTGGGTAAATGTGTACCTGAGAAGGCATAAACACCCTCAAGGTAGGAGGAAGGCCAGGGGACTGGGCATTGAATGAAAATAAGGTCATGGTGTGTCCAGAGATTTTCTTAAAACCAAGTGCCAGAAACTGTAGGTTAAGACCTTAGTATGTCAATAAACAGAGCAAGAGGAAGTAAATTTGAGATTATAGCTTAGCATAGTTGCTGTGGTGTCTTGGGTGTCACCGCAGTGGTGGGCTAGGGCCCATTAGAATGTGCCCATGGAGGGGAGTGCCCCGTTCAGGAGCAGCAGCCCAGCATGAAGGGAGGTATAGTGGCACCTTGTGTCAAGGAGAGAGTCCCCTGTTGTGGAAAGACAGCCAGGATCCCAAGCGTGGCAGCGCTCTGGGCACGTGAGGGTGAGGGAAGAAGATTGAGGAGCTGCAGTGGTGTGGGAGGCACAGCCAGACCCCAGACCACATGGAGGACATGCTCCTGGCACAGATGGCCAAACCGGCTCTGAGGAGAGAGGTGCTGGCTGCACACCGGAAATGTGGTTTCTCACAAGAGTCCTGACTGGCCTTGCTGATGACTTCATCCCAGTTAAAGTCACTTCTTTCAGTGAACTCTTACCAGGGAGAAAATGGTGGTGATGGAATCCCTGTGAGTAACAGAGTTGTGTCAGGTCTTGGTAACCAGAGAGGGACACACTAGGCAGAGCCAGGCAGGAGGTCTCCAGTCAGAGAAGGGAAATTTCACTTAGGATCCTAAGAGTGAGCATTAGCAGAAAGGGTGACGGAGCTGGGCTGGCATCTGTCTCAGGTGCTGCTGATCACCAGTGGGGGAGCGCTCATTAGGCTCTTCAACAGACACCTCTCCAAGAAACAAAGCAGTGCCCTCAGCCAAGACTGTAAGTAGGAGAGAGGCCCAGACCTGCCATCCAACCCCCCACACACCCATGCCTCCCTGCAGCAGATTGCAGCTAGGGCAGGGGCGGCTGGGCAGCCTCACAGCAAGGCTGACAAATGGAAGGAGAAGCCTCTGCTGCCCTTGCCTGCAGGCATCAGCGTGAGGACAGTTAACTGTCTTCTTCCCCTTTGAGAATGCATAAGAGCGCCCCCCTCAGTGCACTTTATACACAGCAGTTTCAAACACATATATCCATCCACCACCCTGGATGTGGAATCCCTGAACAGGTGCTGAGTCCCAAAGGAAGTTAAAATTAATCTGCTCCAGATGTGTCCAAGACAACTCATGGCTTGAGTAAGAGGCACAGAAATAATAAAACCAGATCGCCAAATACTTGTTGGTGATTTTTGTTGTTTTGAGGAATTAAGGAGATGGGAAAGGCATTAAAAGGCAAACAAATATATTTCAGGTTTTCCAGAATAAAAGAAAGTAGATTCCCCAGAGAGACTGGTGCAGCTTGAAGCTGTGTAAGGTTCTAGAAAGTATTCCTAAAGAGATGATTTCTGAGCATTTTGGAAAGGAAACCATGTACCCAGCATGGTTTCACTAACAGTAAGTGCAGCCGTGCTAATCTCATAGAGGCCAGTAGGTCAGGAGCACATGGCCGTGCCTGTCTCAAGCCTGCTGGGGATTTACCCTGCACCTCCCCATGTGTAAAGATGTAATAATGCACATGTGTGAGGGATCTCCCCTCCACACCGCCTGCTGCAGCGTACAAGTCTCTGTCAGGATGTGAGGATATGCTAAGTACCAAGCAGTTCTACAAACAGGTTCTCTAGAAACAGTAAAGAGGAGATGGGTGGAGAGTCTCAACTCACTGAACGTTGTATCCGTCTGTGTTGGCAAATGGGCTGTCATCACTCTGGAGAGAACTTTCAAGCAGATCCATACTGGGATTTGCCCCACCTGGCCTTGCTAACGTTTTAGCTAATGACTGAAGGATGACAGGGTGTTCTTTCCTGATGTGTAGGTGCAGCCATGAAGGGAAAGAGTGGTAACAGTGGGTCCCAAAATTTGTAAAAGTTCAGAAGGCCAGGATGAGACTAAGTATTGATAACTGACCCAACTGTATAAACAAGAGTTAGGGAGTAAGGCATGATGATAAGAGTTAATGCTGAAGTGTGATAGTTACTAGAATATCGTTCATTTCCTGTCATACTCTACCTGTGAGGGGGTGTGAGGAACTAAATGTGAAGGTGTCAAGTGAAGTCGGTCAGAGGGAAAGCCACCCCTGCCTAGCAAGCCCCTTGAGAGGGACAGGGTTCTGAAACAGCCAGTAAAATTCAGCTTTCTACACCCCGCAGCATGTAGGAGCACATTGATGGGGCACCGCACTCTAAGTCTGCAGGGTAACAACACATAAATGCATTCCTCCCTGGGGTCTGTGCTTTAAGAGGCACATGGACAAATTGATGGAGTTTTGGTGAAGGGGGCTCAGAACCTTGTCCTTCGAGGATTGCTTAAAGGAGCTGACAGTTGTTAACCTGGGGGAGAGGAATCTCACTGGCGACTTGCCCTGAGAGAAGTGGGGACCTCTGGGAAATAAGTCAGACCCCTTGTGTCAGCTCCATCAATTTCTGGACGTAACTTGGGGTAGATTTTGACTCTAGCACAGAAGGAACTTTGTAAGAGCTCCAGAGGTGGACTACACAGGTGGTACTTATCCTTGGACATGGTCAGGCATCAGGTAGGAATGGGCGCAGTGATTTCCTGTGGGTCTGTGAAATTAAACCCACCCTTCCAGGCAGCACGGTGCCACCAGGGACCCCAAAGCTTTTTTGTCACCGTGACTTAGGGCCCAAAGTCAGACTTCTAGGAAGCTTTTTAATTTATCCCATCCTGAAAGTTGTTTGATTAATCTGCTGGACTTTTTAACCCTTCTCCAAGTTATACTGGGGAATGGAGATAACTAAATTTAGGTAGGTGGGTGATCAGAAGTACTTTACTTTACAGAATCCTTCTTTGCTCTGCTCACCTGCTAGTACAGGATCACACACACTCTGTAAACTTGGCAAGGCGCTGACCTCCCTTTGCCCTTCATTTTCTATTCTCTTGCCCTCCTTGTCCCCTGTGGTTGGGACTCTCCAAAGCTTTTAGTTACAGTCACTAAGTTCAGGTTTTTTCTCATCTCCTCATGTCTTCCCTCCCTGATGAGTACCTACCCTTTGCCTGAAAACAAGACTTAGCTGAAAAATAATAATCCTTAAAAACTAGAAATAAAAAATGTCAGTCCCACTAGGCATAGTGGTACACACTGGCAAGAGGATTGCCGTGAGTTCAAGGCCAACCTGAACTACATAGCGAGACCTTGTCTCCAAAAAAACGAGAGAGAGAGAGAGAGAGAGAGAGAGAGAGAGAGAGAGAGAGAGGAATGCCAGTCCTAATCAACCCGTCCTTGCCTTCCGCCATCACCGTTCTCTTGCTGAGTTACTACTCTGTGGGGCAGTTAAGGCAAAGACAGACTGATTGGCAGTGTATCTTTGATCTCTAATTTTCAAGGCTGATTATTTTCTGGCTGGGTCTTATTTGGGGGGGAAACAGCATCACACCCCTACACTCCCACCTGCACTTACTAGTTAGTTGAGCCCTACCCCAGACTCTGGAAGCCTTCTTAGCAAAGGGCTTTCTTCCTGGTGTGCGTTGGGTCCAACTCCTGTGAGAACTCCAACTTCTCACAGTGCCCCTTTTAATCCCTCTACCACTACCACCATTGAGACTTCGTTCCCGGGTGTTGCGAGACAGATGGGGAGATGTTGGAGGTCCCCCTTTGGTGTGTGGCCCAACTTGCTCCTGCTTTAGATATAGCCTTCAAAGGGAAGAGTCACTTTACTAGAAACTGTCCTTAAGACTAAGTGTTGCCCAGTGTGGTTATACTTTGAGAGAGCAGACACTTTGTCCCTATCCATTGCTGAGACTGTACCCAGCCTCACTTGAGTGCCAGTGTTTCTCAGGCTGCCTGTCCCTTGGTGGTGTCGCTGTGCAGATTGTGACAGGACGGTGAGCAGTGGGTTCTTTTGCTGGGCCAGCTCTACTGGATTCCAGCAGGAATGAGCTACAGAAAGGTGGGAAGGACATTCAGTCTTGCGAGGCTCCTGACTCATGAACCCCTCATTCATTCATTCGCTTACTCAGGTTTCTGGGGCACTCTCCTCTAGGTGCTGGGAATGCACACACATCGTCCTTATGGCACACACTCAGAGGGCGAGGGGTGCTCCTGGCGGGCATGACGGGACTGGAGCTGGGGCATGTCACCATCACCATCACCATGGGATGCTGCTTAGGGCTCTCAGGCCAGGAGTGCACTGCAGCAACCCCAGAAGCACCAGCCAGTGTAGCCTGGCAACCTTCAGCCTGAGCAGGGAGAGAGGGCAGGCGAGTTGGTTCAGACAGACTGGATTGCTGCGCTCACCTGTCTAGTGGGTGGCACTGAAAGAACTTCACTGCTTCACTTGATTCCAGCTAGGCTTTTGCGGTGCCCGCCTGCTTTCTCCCACCTGGTGAGACCAAGACGAGTCAGTAGTGAACTTGCAGGCTCCTAAGGCAGAGATGGTATTTTTCTGTCTTCTTGAGGCCCCAGCACCTAGAATTTTTCCTAGTGTGTAGTAGATTATTTGATGGTCCTAGGGTTGCTTCCTGGGGTGAGGCATAAGCTGTTGAGTAGCAGTGGAGAGGGAGGCTGTAGGTCACAAAAATTAAGTCCACATTCTTGCAGTATTACTGTGCTTCCTTAAGGTCTGCTGTTCATAAAATGGTGGCACTTTAAAAAAAGATTCCACGTCTGAAAAAAAGATTGCATTCTATTTGACACTGAATGTTAGTAAATTTAGGAGGAAGAGAGTAGACCCATCAGTGCTTTTTCTACACTTGATCTTAGCCAAAAGGCCGAGAAGCGATTCATCAGTGCTTTTTCTAATAAAAGAAATTTCCTCTTTCTCTGCTAGGAGCGCCAAATGAACTCTGAATTTTGACATTTTAGGACAACTGTTTACTTTCATTTTACTGCCTTACTCCCTTTGTTATTGTTTATATTCCATGTCCTCTTATTTTTCAACATTTCCTTTTAAGAATTATAGAACCATGTCTAATAATCATTTAAATTGTGATTTCAAATTACTAATTTTATTTACTTTTACACAGAATCAGTATATTTACTATAATTCTTGAACAAATGTTAAGTTCTGTATGGTAATGTTTAAAAAATTTTTAACCAATAAAACAACATGGAATGTTTTAGGGTTTTTTCTTAAAGAACTTTAATGAACAACTAAAAAATTTTTTTTCTAGGATTTGCTTACAAGACATAAGTTGCTCAGTGCAGAATTTTTGGAACAGCATTATGATAGAGTAAGTATATGAAATACTGCACCAGAATATTTATTCTATATATATAAACCGCTTGTAAATGGTGCTGCCACTGCTCTTTGCGTCTTTTCTTACATTAGAAGAGTGAGTGATAACAGCAGATACAAAGAGAGGATTATTACCTGACTTTTAAACTTTTCCTTCCTTTCCACCAGTGGCTGAGTACACACAGCAAGGTGGGCAGCAGCTGAGAGGATGAGAGCATCACTGGGGGGTGCGGTGCAGGAGCCCAATTCCATCCCTTGCTTCACTGCTGCCTCCTTTGCAGCTAAGGCGGGCAGCTGCCACGTGGGGCCTCAGCAGTCCTCCCTTACTGTACAGTGAGGGCGCTGGCTTAGTCCGTCAGCAAGTCCGGAGCTCTGAGTCAGAGGCGGGCGGCGTCCCTGGTAGACCCCAGAGGTCTGTAAATGATCCTGCGTGCCCTGAGGGGCCAGCACTAACACCCCTGGGCTGCAGCATCACACGTCCTCTTCCGCTGCGCAGGCTCTGCCTTCCGCTGCTATCGGTGGAGTGATCCCCTTAGCGCCCACAGCACTCTCCTGTACCACAGCAGTTTTAAAAAAGAGAAAACCAACAAGCGGGAAGTCTTGCACTTCCCGTCAAGGTTTGGGGTATACAGATTTTGTGGTACTAATTCAAAGGCAGATACAGCTGTTTTGATGATCATTTGGATGATGTTGAGGAGAAAGTGGGGTCAATGGGCTTTTCCTGAGAAGAACAGCCTAACTTGCCAACACACAGATTAGATGGCTGCCCAAGCCCTGCCTCGAAGGAAGCAAAATAGAAGGGCTTGGGCGGCTCTGGGTTAGCCCTGAGCCCACAGGGCCAGACAGTAAATATTGAGATTTCTGGGACCATGTGGCCTGTCTGCTGTCCTGTCTGTGGTACTGCAAAAGCTGCTATAAATAGTCCATCAGTACACAAATGAATTAATTTACACTAAACAAACAGGCATACCTGGGGTCAGTAAAATTCTATATATAAAAACAGAAAAAAAAACAGGCTGGTTTGGGCCTAGGGGCCTCCCTTTGACAGCCCCTGCTCTAAACCAGGTGAATGGCTAATGAGGCCCCTTCCAAAAGTAAAACAAAGGTACATGTGGGGACAGGTGATAAAGCAGGCGTCCTCTAGCACAGTGGTGGCAAAGATTTTAGAGCTGAAGGCCCAAACCAAAACCCACTTATTTACCTCAAAGTGCCAACACTGCAGTGAAGCCCAAATACTGAGGTTTTAGTTTAGAAAAAATAACTCCCTCATTAACATCTTTCCTCTTAAAAGAAAAGCAACATGCCTATCATAGGTGGGCCACCACAGCCCTAGCACATGTCAACATCCAGTGAAAAGTCAGGAAATTCAACAGAGTTACATTGGTTTTGCAAACATTTAGAGCATTTGATGCCTATAATGGCCTTGTCCACCAGGTGCTTAAAGGACCCCCTCTGCGCCCATCAGCTCATTTCCTGCCTTCTTCTGTGTCCCAAGTACTGCAGATGGAAGCCAGGCTTCATGCTCTGCCGGAGCCCCGTGCCCAGCCCCTGAGCTCCTGCCCGCCCTCAGCATCCCAGCCCCTGTGAAGATTTTGCGCTATGTTAAGCTCTCAGATCAGAGAACGGTGCACTCCCAGGTCTTCCCTCAGGCTTTGCTGGTCCCGGTGTCCCCTCCGCGAAGAGCTTTTCTCCCCCTTGTTTCTCCAAGTTAGAGCCTAAATCTCGCCTTTTCTGGAACTTTCAATTTAACAGTTCTGTATTTCTGATTATTTTCTCTCCTTGCTTTTTAATATGAGAAAGAACAGCTAGCTTTTCTCTTTATTGGTTGACTTCGGAAAAATTGAGTTCTCATTCATAAAATCTAAGAATTTTCTAACACCAGGAAACGAAGGCTGAGTCAACTGTGGGGAACCATCAGGGCAGGGTGCTGCCTTGTGCCTGTGTAATTGGGGTGATGGCGGTGTCACCCCAGAGCCTCGAAGGCATCAGGAAGCTGTGGGAGCACAGAGCAGGGCTAACTGCTGGCCTTGGGGGTGTTAGGAATCTGCCCTCAAGCTTTATAATGTTGTCTATCAGTCTTTTTTCTCTTCTGATATGTTTTCTTGTCTCTTAGTTTTTCAGTGAATATGAGAAGCTACTTCATTCAGAAAATTATGTGACAAAGAGGCAGTCACTGAAGGTATGACAGATTCTTTTTTTTGTTTTATCAGTTTTAAACAGGGTCTTGCTGTATAATCTAAGTTGGCCTTGAAGCTCTGTGTAGCCTGGGCTGGCTTTAAACTCTCAAACCTCCTGCCTCAGCCTACCAAAATCTGAGATTATAAGTGTGGACCCACCACGCCCAGTTCAGACAGGTTCTCTATCTTGTGTCATTTATCTCTTCACCTTGTGTTTGATGCTTGGATTTGGGGAAAGGAAGACATGCTGATATGAGTTGTAGAATGTTGGAGGAAAATATGATTTTTGCAGAAAAGCATGGGAGGGAGTTCAGCAGTGGTCCATATGGGGCACCTGCCCATCTTATAAGCAGAGACACCAAAAGCGGGTCTTGAAGACAGCGTCACAGTATAGATCTTGAAGCCTGTCTTTAGAATGTAGGGTCATGCCAACTAAACAAAGGCAGTCAAGGAGTCGTATTCCCCGGCTGCTGCCCACATGGCACGGGCTTCCTCAAGCAGGGACAGCAGGCGAGGCCTGAAGCTGTGACCCATCCACATGTAGACGGTACCAGCAAAAACTAAAATGTTTAGCTCGAGATGTGAACTCTAAAACAGGTTGGCAGATGGTAGCCCAAATCCATGTGCCACATCCAACCGGCTCCCTGTTTTTTTACATAAAGGCTTAAAGGAACACAGATCATGCCCACATATATATTGTTAAGGCTGTTCAGGCTACAGCAGCAGATTTGAATTGCTGTTCCAGACACTGTACAGCCTATACAAGCCAAACTATTTACCGTCTGGCACTTACAGAATAAGTTTGCTGCCCCCTGCTCCAGCATATTCGTATAATGGTTAATAGTGCACCCCGCAGTCCTATCAGTAAGTGGTCCTGACAAGAACTACCATGTAGATGGACTCACAAAGCATTGGGGTGTGATCCATTTAAATTCAGCTCTGCCCTGAGTTCTACCCTCTGGGGTCTCTGAATTCATATTGATAAAGACTCCATTTTTTTCTCCCCCTTCCAGCAATAGAGAAATCTCACCTGAAGACCTTATCTGTGGAAAGATACAAAAGACGTTAGGAGGGAACCTCAGTCATGCTTTGTCCTTTCATAATAATGTCCTCTACCCTGCAGATACCAGTGGAACCCTTAAATCTGACAAGCTGCTTCCTTCTTTTCCCTAAGGCTGTCACTGCTGCAGTCAGGGAGCAGTGAGAGCCCCAGCTTGGGAACACGGCACTACTGAAATAGCCCAGGCAGGCCGTGTTCGTTGCTGTGACAGGGGCCGCCCTCCCAGGGCCCTCTTAGCCTGGTATGGAGAATCTTACCTTAGCCCTTGTCCCCGTCTCCAGTATTGTGATTAGACGATCATCTGTTACTCTGATGGCTGCTAAGCATGGCCACTTCCTTCTGCAGAGTTCTTGAGGAACCGTGGCCGCTGTTGGAGCTGCTGCTCCTCTCTACATGATTAGTGATCGGACGGAAGTCCCCATATCTTCCTTCCTCTGAGACCTGTGAAGGGCCACACGTCCAGCTCTGCACAGGTCACAGACAGCACAGCCCGGAGGAGTCTAAGGCCAGACAGGAGACCGTAGGATAATAGCTTCCAGGGTCAGTCAGTGTCTCTGTGCTGGGAAGAGGAGATCTACTGGCAAATCCTAACCTTTGGTGGAATTTGGACCCTTCGACAGCTTGGATAAGGAGGGAGAAAAGGACTCTTGCCATCCAGAATTAGCAACCGGAAAAGGAAGCTTGGGACTGCCCTTCATAAAGCGTTAGTGATGGACACAGAGCAGCCCTTTCCTCCCTGCACTTAATTCTGTGTCACAAACATGTGGAACAGTACTTTGGAGATGGATTGTGATGTGTACTCTCGAGCAGCTGTATTGGCATTTCATGATTTTATTTCTGTGACGTAATCAGCCCTGAAGTAGACAGGATTTCAGTGTACTGATGCCAGGATTGGCGATGTGGATTATCTGTGGAGACTGTGCTTAAAGAACAGGAGAGTTCCGGCTTCATAGGCCTTTCTGAATCAGTGTTACAGTGATGCCTTTGACCCATTGTGGTGGTGCACGCCCACAATCCCAGCACTGGAGCAGCTGAGGCAGGAGGATTGCCATGAGTTTGAGGGCAACCTGGGGTACATAGTTCAAGGCCCTAGCTACAGAGCAAGATCCTGCTTTAAAAAAAAAAAAGATACCTTTGGCTTGTGGAGGGATCAGGGTATAGAAAATTATGGTTACGGAATCCTTTGCCCCTTAAAGTCCAGCTAAGTACACTTTAAAACAAATGAAATTTTTTAATTGAAGCTAGTTAACAGGAATTACCAGTAACTTCTCAGGTAGTTTCTCCTTCATGGGTTTCCACAGGTGCACAGTTAAGGAATAGGCTGGGCAGTCTCCGACCCTGGGCCAGGTGTGCCCTGTGTGCCTTGAGAGAGAGAGAGAGAGAGAGAGAGAGCCCTGCCACGGGGCCAGCCCGACATACAGCACAGCCTGGGACGGGGACTGCAGGCAGTGAGGGCCGCACTCCACCCCTGGATGTCGGGGGTCGGTCCAGTTGGCCCACTTTTTTGGTTGTCTGCTAATATTCTATGCTTAATACTGATTTTTAAACTTCGGATTTGCTTTAAATCTTAACAGTAATGTAAGAGTAATTGTTTAAATATCTTCTCAGCTTCTTGGTGAACTACTGTTGGATAGACACAACTTTACAATTATGACAAAATACATCAGTAAACCCGAGAACCTGAAATTAATGATGAACCTTCTGCGGGACAAAAGCCGTAACATCCAGTTTGAAGCCTTTCACGTGTTCAAGGTAGAGTACACAGATTGTTCAGTCACCATTCACACTGTGTGGTACAGCATTTAAACAGACAGCACTGGACAAGTGCTCATCAAGAGGGCCATTTACTGGGGACTGGGGATTTAGCTCAGTGGTGCCACTGCCTGCCTCAAAAGCACAAGGTCCCAAGTTCAATCCCAGGTACCAAAAAAAGAATGTCATTTATCTTTGGCACAGAGCGTTGTTCATCACAGAGTAAAAAGTCTCTCTCTAGGGTCAGGGATTTAGCTCAGTGGTTCTGGCGACTGCCTCGCAAGTGCAAGGACCTGAGTTCGATCCCTGGTACCAAAAAAAAAGGTCTCTCTTAATGCTTTCCATGGAAGTTTTTATTATTACAATCAGTCAGGCTTGCTGTGGCCAGAAAATATTTCTTCCCTCATTACTCTAAAAACCAGAGTCTGTATTCAGTACCACTGTATTTGAGGGCTGGCAGAATGAGCTGGCATTTCTCCTTGGGTTAAAACATACTAGTTTTTCTCCGTAGTGGATAAAATAAGCTCTTCCACAGCCAAAACTACCCTGGCTTCACTGGCTGTCCCCTGACCCTGTGGGGCACCAGGTTCCGTTCTGTGACCAGGGCGGCTCTCTCTCCACCCAGGTGTTCGTGGCCAACCCCAACAAGACGCAGCCCATCCTGGACATCCTGCTCAAAAACCAGACCAAGCTCATCGAGTTCCTCAGCAAGTTCCAGAACGACAGGACCGAGGACGAGCAGTTCAACGACGAGAAGACCTACTTAGTCAAACAGATCAGGGATTTGAAGAGACCAGCTCAGCAAGAAGCCTAATTTCCAATAAACAGCTAAAATATTAAATCCAAAATCAGCATTTGCTGTTAGCTATTCAGCATCGGGCACTCTTATCAATTCATGAGGAACATTACTGCTAATCTGCTGTTAAGTGAACGGTTTTTCATTTTACCATTTTGTTTTTCAGTCCTGGTTGGAGAACGTAGCTGCTGCAGCTTGCACACTAGAGCACACGGGGATTCCTCTTGATCTTTGTGTCGTTTCACAATTCAGAGACTCTGCTTGCTGGGGAGTCTGACCATGTGGGGCTCGTGAGGACTGGACAGGGGAGCGCGTGGGGAGAAGAGGGCGAGGTTAGGGCCAGTTTAGACCTGCGCATCTCCCTGCGCGCAACCGGCTCCCCTTCAGACCCAGAGGAAGAGCGCGTGCGCAGAGCTGTGCTGGACACCGGCGGGGGCACTGTCGACCATGCAGCTTTTGGGGTGGATAGAAAGTTGACGTGCGAATTAATTGATACTGCAACTTAGCAACTTCTCCAAGGTGTGAGGCTTAATAAGGTCATAAGGAATATGTATATATGCTTTTCACAGCTTTCTAGAACTTTTTGACATTTGATTTTCTTGAGACTTGTAAACCTGGATATGTTGAAGGGTATTTGTTAATTTTACTTTTTGAAGGTATTTTAAAACAGTAGAGCTAGTGAAGACACCTTGCATTTCATTTCAACACTGCTTACAGATTTCTTTTGTATATAATTCTTAGGATGCTCATTTCTTTTAAAAGGTTTAATTTGTACAGCAGAGGAATGTGATTGTAGTAGTATGTAACTATTACCTAATACTGAGTTTTTGCAAAAAAAAAATGAATGCTCATATGTAATTGAAATACTTCAGATCACATGAAAATGCTGATTTAACATTTAAGGATCACAGCATTAAAAGAAAAAGTAAACCAATCTTTTGTATTCAATCACCTAATGGGTGCCCGTAGTAGGCAGCACCACGGACCTGGAACTCAGTCCGCACCACTCTCCTGCGTAATATTGGCCTTACTCAGGTAAACCGAGTCACAAGTTTGCCAGATGGATGGGCACAGAGTAAGACTGACGCCGCTTCTCCGGGGTGGGGCCTCTGTGGAGCACCTTAATCCAGTACAGTAGTTGTGAACTGAATAATTAAAACTGGCTTCTCTTAGGAAGAGTTCCTAGTCAGGTGTCCTATGGGGAAATTTATTTTTTTTTAATGTCCTGTTCCTTATGCTGCAGATTATCAGTATTTATAAAGTACCTGATTTTGCACCACTTTTTCGTCACTGTGACCACGGCAGAACAATGTCTTCTAGACTCTGTCACGAGAATGGTATCTGTTCATCTTAGCGATACGAAGATCACAAGTAACAACTTAGGAATCAGAGTTTGCCAGTTCGAATTCAGCATGGCTGTAGCTGATAAAGAAATTTATATCATTATTCTTTACGAGCCTGTCTTGCAAATTGAATTATTTATTGGCCAGGAAAATGAGCCTCCCAGTTGATGCTTCAGCAGGTGTTAAGATCTTCAAGGAACACCAATTAGGAAAAGCGCTCCAGAAAACAGATGTATCTTATTCTGTGTGATTTAAGCGGCAATCCTCAGTCATTTGGTTTTTCTGAGGATGTCTTCACAAGAACCTAAATAATTCATGTTCTCTACCAGAAGTAGGGCAAGCATTTGATCGCCTCAAAGAGAAACTCCCGCAGCTGTCAGGAAGGCAGAGTCGCCCTGGGAGCATGCGGTCCCCGTGGCCTAGCACTGTGCGTGGGTTTCAGCATGAGAACAGAGCCACCCCGAGCGGGGAGGTGCTTAGAAGCGTGCGCGACAAGGCAGCCTCCGCGTGGGCCGCCTGAGCCTGGTGGAAGACGGTGCAGTGTCAGCGAGCATCCGTGTGTCACGGCGCAGTGCAAGCTGAAGGCAGTTGTGATGTTCTGGTTTTTTGTTTTAAACAGCAATATGAAAATACTCAAATTTGAAACTTGCATTTGAAGTTATGATCATTTATTATTTTCATATTACCAAAACTATTATACGGGATGTGGTTTCTTTTTGAGTTACAAAGGTTTACATTTACTGAAGGAAGTTACTTAATGTGATTTTTTTAACCCTTGAAAGAAAAAAGTGGAGATGTAAACAATTGTTAATGAAAGCATTTCCTTTCTCCCGAGGAAAAGTGAATTTATCAGAATATCTGGCTGGCCCTGTAATTTAAATTAAAATAAAATTTTGGAGAAACGCCATTGTCCATCTTCGCAGTGTCAATTGCATTTGTGTCACAGAACAGCCCCACGAGGAGGCACAACCACAAGTCTTGTCACAAGCTGAACGGGACAGTTTTACACCTGCCAACTTGACTTTGTACACCGAAAGTGCAGTTTTTGCTCACCTTCTCCCCCGATGTGTGTATCTCAGTATAACATGGGCCATCACACTGCCTCCCTCTGTTCACAGTTGAGTGTCACGCGCACCTTCAGTGGCCCCACGACCCTTGGCCGTTAACATCCCCAGATGCACTGACTGCTCTGCCAGGCAGGAGGACTTGGGAGTTGCTGGAGCTAAGTTCAGAGGGAGGTGTGGGACTGTAAGTAGGTGTCTTCCTTCCAGGACACCCCTTCCAAGCCTTGTGCACACCTGGGCTTGTCTTTTTTCCCCTTAAGTGAGTGGGGGACCGTGGGCCAGTGATAAGCCCTGGTCACGCTCCCTCCAGAGGACGGTGGCTCCTGCTCACCGAGCTGTCACCTTTGACCACACTCTGAAGGCCCTGCTCAAGCTCAGCTGCTCCACCCCTTGAACCTTGGAGATGGCGATCGCAGCAGCTCAGCGACCAGGTTTCGTCCCCAATATCCTGATCTCCCAGCCCCAAGCAGGTGTGGGCTTGTGGGCACCTGTGGGGAGGCTGCGATGCTGGTACCTCGAGGCTCAAGCTACTCCCAGGTGGTGGACTGTGCTCTCCAGATGCCTTTGGAGGAAGAGGATAGCCCGGCTGCCTGGTTCACTGGTGTCTGCTCCCCAGCCGGGTCTGTGTGCCCTCTTTGACCGTCAGGTTCCCAGAAGGAGAGAGCAAGGTGTGACTCTCCAAGCCTACTGGCTCCCAGAAATGGGCCTTGTACAAGGACCATGAGCAGCCTGACCGCGTCCTGCCTCAGCCTTTCACCACAGGTCGCCAGCAGCTGCCCAGGCTACCTGTCACTTGGGTCACCCACCACCTCCACCTAGCCCAAGCACGGCAACCTGGGACCTTCGGGGAGGCCGGTGGCTGTACACGGCGGTGTTCCTTTGTCTGGGCAGTCAGTCTTTACCACCTAAATCTCGGTGTCCCATGGAAATCACACTGGCTCTGGTTTCTGGGCCTGGGGCTTCTGCCCAGCACCAAGGTGACAGTGGCATCAGAGGAGCCAAGGGCAGCTGGGAGAGCCTCAGTGGGAAAGCTGCCTCCTTCCTGCCGTGGGCTGGAGCTTGAGGTCCTGTGATCTGCCCCATCCTGGGGAAAGAGTCTTCCCCAGAAGGGTTTCCCACACACCAGACCTCACCTGCCCACCTTATGAAGTCCTCATCCTGGGAGGCAGTGAGCACTGGGTGGCCAGCCTGTCCTGAGTGTTCCTTCTGCTAGGCTGGAGGCCTGCACCGCAGCCTGAGCCCAGCTGGGCGGGTCCTCCCTTTAGAAGAGGAAGGGGCAGCAAATCAAGGGGAGACGGAGACAACCACGTAAGCGCCAGAGCTTGACACCAGGAAATGAGTGGCCACGGCCTCTGCTGGCCCAGGGGGCTTCCTGAGGCCCAGACACATGCTCATCACCCTCCACCAAGGCCCATTCTGCTGAATACATCGGCCTTCTGCTGGGTGGAGTGCACCTACCCACAGCTCTCCCTACGGTTGTCCTGCGTGGTCATCAAACATGCCAGCGCCACTGAGAAACTCCTGGTTCTCTCACGCTCTGCCCCTTCCTGAAAGAACTTTCTTGAAAGCTGTAGAATGGCCTTACCGAGCGATAACACAATTAGGGAACCGGGACCTTGGGGAAGGGCCAGCTAGGTCTGTGTGGGGCCGAGCCTGCCCCTTGGCCACCCAAGTCCATCCTTTCTCCTGCAGCCAACTTATGTGCATATTTGTTCTCCATTTTTAATTGTATTTTTAATGTACAGTACCTACATTCAGTGGGGAAATTGGTACATGCGCTCACCAGATCTTGATCTATTTTACTTCCCCTCCCTTCCCCTCTCCTGTCTCCCCAAACTCCAGATCCCTTCCCATCATCTCACAGAACCAGCTCTTTAGTTCATTGATCCTTGTTTTGTTGTTTGTGTCTCAGGTTCGCTAGTTACTACTCTGGTCTTTATAATTTCTTTCCTTGTGTTAGTTCCAGATTTGTCTATCTAGAACCTTGGGGAACATCATTAGGCTACTTATTTGGGATTGGCTGTTATTTTTATGCAGGCGTTTACAGCTATAACTTTCCATCTTAGAACCACTTTCACTGTGCCCCGGAAAGGTTGTGCTGCATTTCCGTTGGCATTTGATTCTGGGAACTTTTTAATTTTTTTTCCCTGATTTCTCCTATGGCCCATTGACTATCCCTGACATTATTTAATCTCCCATTGTTTGAGCAGTTTCTGTGGCTCCTTTTGCTGTTTATTTTTACCTTCTTTCCATTACAATACACAGGGGATTGTTTTAATTTTCTGTATTTATTTAAGCTCGCTTAATGGCCTAAAATGCCTTTGGGAAAGCAGTCATATTTTAAAAGTCCACTGGGGGGCAGTGGAGCCCCTTGGTTTTCAGGCAGCGGCTGAGCAGGCAGAGCGGGCGCTTTCTGAGCAAATCTGGCCTTGACAAATAGGGAAGGACCACTAAGTGAGTTCAAGGCCGCCCTGGACTACGTGGCGAGACCCTGTCTCAAAAAAGAAAAACCGAGAGGAGGGCGCGTTGGACTCGGCCCTGCCCCTCCTGCTCTGAGGCTGCCAGCCTGAGGGATGCTGAAGTGGCTTCGGGGCCACCACGCAGGGCCGGCGGACGGGGGAGACGCCCTTGGCCCCCCTGGGCCTGACACCTGGTACCAGCCGGGGCGGCGGGCGGGGGACACAGCTGAGCGAGCGCGGGGCTCAGTGTCAGAGTCGCTAGGAGGCCACTCGGAGCCGTGGGGACGACCAGGCCGCGGAACTTCTAGGAAAGAGGCGTCACGTCTTTGGAAACGCAGCCTCTTGGAGAACGACCAAGTCCTTGAATAGACCTCAGCGGCGTCCAGGCTGAAGAACAAACTGTCACGGGCCACACCACGTCTGATCGGAACTAGGAAGGCCAGAGGCGGATAAAGAGCGGAGGGCCGCCGCCTTCAGGGCTTAAACTAGAGGCTTTGAGGAGAGAACGGAAAGAGAAACCTAAGCAGAACTAGTAGCTGTTGTTAGGGCGCGGTCTCTGGAAGATGAACCAGAACCCGCCCACATCAGGAGCGAGGTCAGAAAGAGGAAAAGGCCCGCAGCGTGCTCTGGAGGCGAGCGATGCCTTCCAGGGACGCACGAAGCTGCTCTCAGGAGGAGCCAATTAGGAGGCTGCACTGCCGGGCTGGCCAGGCCCCAGGCCCAAAGAGGGGACGCCAGCGTGGGCGCCAGAGCTCGGGACTCACGGCTCCCGGGAGAGGAGTCAAAGGCTGAAAAACGTGCGGCTCGGTTCCTTTAGGACACTTTAAGAGAAATTGAATGGACAGAAACAAGCTGTGGGAGACCAGCTGTCCATATACGAATCTCCGAGCAGAGACCTCTTCTCTGACTGAGAACCCAGAAAGCGGGAGGTGTATTGGCTCCAGCAGGAACTTCCGGTCCTCCCTGAATTACAAGAGAAAGAAATTGCAAAACCGAGTGTGGTGGCGCACGGTTGTAATCCCAGCACTCAAGAGGCTGAGACAGGAGGGTCAGTGCAAGTTCGAGGGCAGCCTGGGCTGCATGAGTTCAAGGCCAGCCTAAAGTACATAGTGAGACCTTGTATCAAAGAAAAAGAAATGTAATGTTCACCAAGTAGCCGACCTGGAGCGAATTTACCTCGTCACAATAGGGGAGAACATTTCGAAGCAGACTTCAAGATCAGCCACGTTGATCCTGAGGCTTTAGAGAGTACTGAGTGACCTCCCAGGACCTAGGGAAAGGGTATGATGTAGCCATAACGCCAAGTTTTACGGATTCCTAGCCTTGCTCTTTTGTGTAGACATCAATAATGACAAAAGAAAAATATATATCCCTTAGCAGAGCCCAAAAGACAGGCGGCACTCAAACATCTACAGACAAGGACACCCAGGAGGGGAGGTCCGCGCAGAAACTCGGCCAGGTCGGCCACCAGGGGGCGCCAGTGGCACCTGTCCGTCGCGGGCCAATCCCGAACCGCTGGGGCCTGCAAGTCTATCCAGGTCCCCAGGCAGGAGAGGGGACCCAGCCCGCTCCAAAGTCCCTGGATAGAGGGCGGAGTCAGAAACGTGGCCTCCGCTACAGAACTGCTAATACCAGGCTAGGGGAAAATGTGTGACCTGTGTGAAAGGCACAAAACTTTTTTTTTTAACCTTATTTCCCGGAAAATAAGACCTGGCTGGAAAATAGCCTTGAAAATTAGAGATCAGAATTTTAGTGGCACAAAATTTTAGCGAAAATACATAACAGTTACATTCATTCATCTCAAGTCTTTTTTTACCCCTTCCCCTCCAGTCCCTTTTTTTATAAGGTTGTTTTTTTGCTTGTTTGTTTTGTTTTTTGATACTGGGGATCAAACACGGGACCTTGCACTTGGGAAGCAGGCGCAGAACCACTGAACTAAATCCCCGGCACTAGTCCCCCCGCCTTTTTTTTTTGCTGGCATCAGATTCAATTATCTATCTTCTAAGTCATACAGACTTAATTATCATACATACAGATTAACAGCCAGACCAAAAAGATAAAACATGTAAGACAATTCTATTAAACCAAGGTACACTTTTAGATACGTTGTCCATGCTGGATTACAATAACTTTTATTTTCCTATTGTCTGTCTTTTATTTTGCACTTTATATGAGATCATCAGGGTAGGCCTTGGTCCAATATGACTGTATTCTGATGAAAGGAGAAATTAGTACACAGACACACAGAGAAAGGAATGCTGTGTGGAGATAAAGGCAGAGGCTGGGCATGGTGGCACTCAGGAGGCTGAGGCAGGAGGATTGCCATCAGTTCGTGGCCAGCCTGGGATACACAGCAAGATTCTGTCTCAAAAACAAAAGCCAAAAAAGATGAAAGGTCTGGTGATGTT